CCTTTGATGTGTATCACCAGTGATCAGTCAAGTAGAAACAGTCAAAATATTTTATCAGTTTTTCTCAATTTTTGCATGATATTTTCATACAGGACATCTGTTGTTCAAACTCAGGGAAGACTTTATACTGATGAACAAGGTGACCAAGTTTGATGAAATTTGGAATAGAATTAGTAAAGTTATCATGCACACAATAACAATTATTAACGACGACGACAACGACAACGACGACGACAACGCCGGACAAAATTTTTCCCTTAATATACCTTTCCCTTCCATCTTTGATGGTACGGGCAAGGTAAAAATAAATCACCATCAGAGACTGGTGAAGGGTTGTAGAAACCCAACTTTAAACAAATGTATCATCATACCGGTAATATCAAACATTGAGATTACAAACTAACACTTACCATGTAATAACCTGGTAACAATTTCTGTAAAAAGTCAGCCTCTTTATGTTGCACAGTTTTAATAATAAATTCATCATCACTTGTTAAATAAAATACACTGCCACTAGCACCAGGGTTGGACAATTCCCTTAATAAATCATTACATAATGATAACTGTAAAGAGACAAAAACGTAACAAGTATGAAAGTGGTACTTTGAGACACTGGAAGGTTTATAAAGTTAATTTATTAACAGATATTGACCAATTAACCCATAAATGGTTAATTCAATGAAAAAGTACACAGGTCTGACAAGATTTGGATTAATGACATGTCCAAGGCTCTGTTATAACATTTAAAATAACAAAATGCAGTTTCTCAATCTGATAATGATTAAACACGATTAATCCATTAGGCACTGACTCATTACAGAGATAAATATGTGTATATCAAGCCTCCTTCCATTCAACGCATGTAGTTTTGTATCGAGTTCCACATAGATAGTCAATATTAATCCAAATGATAGAACAGTATGTGAAAATAAGTGGACCCTGTTTAGCTGTTGTATTGCTCCCAGCCTCAAGTGAGGAATGATAGATGTATAATGAGAGTCACAAGTCCGAAAATGACATCACACAAGTGAAGTTATTAAGGTTTATACATTTATCATAATTGTATACACAGTCCCCAAAGTGTAGACAATTTTCTAGTAGGAAATGTTTTCAATTGACTGAATGATTTAACTATTAGACTAGCTCTAAGCCACTATGTTACGAGGTTAAAACACGGGAAGATGTGATGCACCTTTATTTGAACACATTGTCTAACACCGTCTCTCAGTTTAGTAGCTCAGCATTTTTACTAGATCTCAACTGAAATATGCAACCATAAGTATTTTAACTACAAGGTATCATAACACAAATTATCACACTACTATGTGTACTGCATGTCTGTTTGTCCTCAAAATGTAATACAATGTATGACAATGTTCATTAGTTTATTATGTACAATGATGAAGCTAATGTCTCATGGTACAATGAAATAGCATTATTTTGTGTGTTACAGTTGAGCGTTTTGAGAAACGTGTCCTAATATTTCTTGAAAATTGCTATTTTTAGAACAATTCCATAGAACACAATTTTAAAGAAATATTGCATTTTTTGACACTTTAAAACCCAGACAAAAGGTACTCCATCATTAACAACGATGATCACCAGGCTAGATTTTGAGATATTGCATAATATCTCTGCCATAGGAACCTGTGGTAAAAGTGTTATAATAGTGCCAAAATGGCACCTTTCCACTAAAATACAACCATCAATTTCTCGAAAAAAAGGCTGGTGACCCCCAACTTCTTTCAGGTCAATATCTTTATATTGCCTTGGAGTACAATTTATTGCAAAATGAATAAATTCTGGGTATTTCAATTTATGAGCTGCCTTCTACCTTAATATGATTTAGCTAATACTGTAAAATACTTTATTTTCGCTTGAAATTAATTTTCGTTGAAGGAATGATTCAGTGCAAATAAAATCCAGTGAATATACCTTTCTACTTGTCAAAAATCAGTGAAAATAAATTCCATACAAAACACCTGAAAAATCTTAATTATTAATTCCAGCTAAAATGAAGTATTTTACAGTAGTTAGTTTTATAAAACAGTTATTGTTAATGATTATTTCTCGGATATAATGCCTCTATGTATATGAACAATACAATGAGATACACAAGGTGAACACATGGTGAGGATCTTTTTAAACCCATCTTTTCAATCCCATCTACATTACTTCAGATGAACAAAAGACATTGCAAAATTATTTCAATGCCACAAGTCATCCATACACCTGTCACTATTCCATTTCTAATGACCTTGTGCACAGGTAACTTGTGCTATTTAATTAACACAGATAGGATGACCATAATATTGAGTTTACTTACCAGAAAGTCATCAGGCTGAATACCAAATAATTCTCGAAAATATCTAAAAGCTACCGGGGCGTATGTCTTGAAACGAAAATCTGGATATTTATGTGCCGCTGTTAAGTTACTGCCTTCACTGTAAGTAAAAATCAATACACATTTCAACCATATCATCAAGAAAAATGTCATTACATTGGGTATGTACATGTAATCAAAAAGGAAAGCGCACAACTAAAGAAGTTCATGTAATGTAGAAATGTTGTTGTGCATCACTCTTTGTTTTCGGGTTAGACCTGCATTTTGAATCACTGACTTTATCGGGTATACTGGTATAAATTAGGGTGTATTGCTCAGCAACAAGACATGATGGCTGTCCAACATGTGGCAAGTTGGTGTCACAGATATGAGCTGTCAAGCGTGTAGCAAGTCAGTGTCACAGATTACCCCAGGCACTGGAGGTTGTAATGTTTCGCCCGCCCGGTAGGAAAATGCTACACAAACAGCACTCCAGTCTGACTGCTATCGAAACTGAGTTCCTCGCACTCACTAGTTAAATGCATGCGACCTTTGCACTTTGAACGATAGCCAATCACACGCGACTCTTGACGTAGCTGTTAATAAACAACTGAATATATTAACTAACCATTTATGGGAGATGGCGAGTAAAATCAACGTTCATCCTGTTGGTGTTTTTATCCCAGTTTCTCCAGCGCTGTCGTTGAACGTAAGTGGTTGAGTTCATTTGAGAGTTATTTTTGTCGGAGTTCGTGTCTTATGGTTTTCTTCCACGATCTGGATTTAGTTCACCGCGAAACTTGTTCAAAGTTTCTCGTGTCAGACTGGAGTTATTTTATGGACCAGCGTAATTAATCGTGTGCACTGTATATTATTTTGCTTTTATCATTATTAATTTGCTCTTGTGATAATTTTGAAGAAACACGAAATCACGGTTTCGGCAGATTGTCGGCGATTTTGTCAAAAGAAATTGATGTCAGCTTGGTTTTCTGATGTCAGTGCACACGATCCTATACCAAGTTTCGTTGCAGCTTTTACTTTGTCTTCAATGAGTGCGACAAGAGGTGAAATGACAATCAAAATTGGGTTTTGATCCAAGCCTAGTTCTTTAACAACTAGCAAGACGACTTAAGAGATTTGCTGTAACTAGTCGGCAAAAACACAACAGTGTTACAGCGGTTTACAATCCCTTCAATTGCATGAACTGTTCATCTGTGAGAGTTGGCACACCAGGAATGTATTCTGAAATAGTCTTTAAGGCTTATTTCAGCTTTTTCTTAGCAATCATGGCCAAATTTTCACGTTATGAACAGTTACACACAACAGTCTAAACCGAGACGCACACTGACACCGACAACTGAAAATGGCGCCAGTCAGGTGATTTTGTTTACGACACTTGGTATAAATAGAGTGGGCATTTGATTGACACTCGCATCACCCAATCAGCGCTACATCTATTTTACGAACGGCACACTCAGTTCCGATAGCAGTCAGACTGGAGTGTTGTTTGTGTAGCAATATCCTACTGGGCGGGCAGAATATTACAACTTCCAGCACCTGGGGTATGTCACAGATATGAGTTGTCCAACATTTGGCAAGTTGGTGTCACAGATATGAGCTCTCAAGCATGTTCAAAGGGAGATAACTGGTTGAACAGTAATATGGAATGCGATCAGCAACTCCAACTGAATAATCCATATTTTGGCTGCATGTGTTTTTATTATTAATTATTTTATTACACGTAGCCATAATTGATACAGAAGAGAGAGGATATAACAGTTACTGTACCTTGGAAAGAAAACACTTTCTACAACTGCAAAGTCTTGCATGAGTACATCTCTTTCTGGTTTAGCGGAGAGTCCTCCAACTGAGTGGCCAATACCAAGTTGGATAGCAGACATCAAAGCCGATGATGTGGTCTACAATAATAACAAAAGACTGTATCAATAATAGTCCAGTAATATTAATGAGCTGTAAATGTGTTGGCGGTTTACAACTAAACTTTTTACCTAGTGATTTTAGATTGATATGACATTAAAATGACACCATTTCAATACTAGAGAGAGCAAACTGATAGTACAAGATTACATTTTATATTTCTCTGACATTAAAAAAACCTTTGGCAGAATGCCACAACGACCCTCATACACCTCTGCTGGTAACTTGCAATGATGAAATTTGTATTTGAACAAACACAAACTGAGAACTCCCCCCCCCCCCCCCCGGGTACTTTTAATCCCATGTGTGTCTTGGAAAGAAGCGTTTAAGCATGAAATGTAACCCATGTATAGGTACTTGAACAATCACGATTTAGTTTATAAAATAAAATAAATGGAATATCAGGCGAGGCTACGAGTTAGTTCAGAAATCTGATCGACATAAATGTACTAGTACAGGCATTATGGTATCATTGAAATGAAATGGACACAACTTCTTATATTAAATGTGAAAGTCCTCTGGGTTGAATAATTTGTGAGTAAAAGCAAACTGTGTAAAATGTACTGACAAGTGTTTGAATCCTGACCACCTTAATCTGACCATTTTTAGGCTTGGTTAAAAGCCTTAGTGTAGGATACCAAAAGTGTATGCATTTGCCCTTTCAGGACAGACAGTTTTGGAAGCGATATGTTTGCCACTGTGGATGGATATGTTTACACATCCTTGTAACCTGCTCCCTTGAAAACCTGCAGACGATAATGGCTGCAGCAGACGAAATGGATATTATGCAGTGGTTGCAGTTGATAGGACAGGGCCAACTTGATGAAATTCTTGGACCAGCACCAGAAAATGAGAAGAGAATTGTGGCGCTTCAAAGACATTCTGAGCTAGTGTCAATAATCCGTATATGACTGAATTTGCGTTATTTAACATGCGTGAGTTGTTATTACATGTATTGTTGTAAAATTAGATTTGTGTGTGGTTGCAAACTTTTATTAAAATATTGAATATTAACATCATCATGATTGTCCTTTTTATTTTTTATAAATTTTCTCCAAGCAAACGAAAGTAGTTCTGAGAATTTCTTTGATCATTGGAGCTCTCTGTTGCTATTGACGATGGTCCATACATGGCTCACTGGACTGCAAAAATCCCCAAATGTTCCTATTCTAAAGTGTGTGTTTGATTGGCGGGCGGATGAAGGCTACACTCTCACATGTATTTGTAGCTATTTAGAAATTCCTAGCCAATGATGTCTCTCATACATGTATAACAACACATGCTAAAAACGCAAAGGCTCATGGGTTGACGCTTGTGACACACTATGGCCTTCTGACGCATGTTGACTTAAGTAATCATGATAATAACACAATCATAAAATGATTTTACCTTTTTGTAAGTTGTCTCCCCAAATGTATCCACTCTTCTGTGTCCTATTTTCTTCTCCATCTTCGGTGTGGATGGTGATTTGGACGGTTTTGTACCAGTCTTGTCTACTCCTGATGTCTGTTAATGAAATAAAACGTACAAATTATTATTAATGTGCACAACGAAAGAAACAAACCAATTAAGAGTTCATGTCTAACTTATAATCATTCTGTGGGTAAAACGTGTATCCTTCTTACAGAGACAAATTTATGGTTCATTAAGGTTCATCAATAGTTTCAAGCAGAAAAAAATGTCAACTACTGTAAAACAATTTATTTTCACTGACATTTAATTCCACTAAATTGTAACTTTGTGCATGTTCACAGATTTGGAGGGGATACAATGAGTTATATTGTTATACTACATCTTCACAAGGATTTAATTTAGCAGATTTTACTTATCCAAGGAAATGGCGAAATTAAAATCCAGTGAATAATTAATGCATCTAGAGTAACTTGACATTATGGAGTTAACACAGAGGTCTCTTATAGAAAAAAAGTACAACAATGCTCATTCAATTAGAAAATTCTTTCCACAATGAAACATAATGAGATAATGTGCTGGAAAGTATATTTAAAAATATACAGCAGATTCAGTAGTTTGTCCTGTACTAATACATGGGTGATACAATGTGTTGTAATGTGAAAACTCCTGCATATTCACTTTCAATCCACTGATGTTCATGTACTGTACTGATCCACCTTAGACAGAAAGTGAGAGAACACCCACAATTACACTGAAAATGCAGGATATTCAACAACTGCCATAAGTGCTGAAGTCTCAATTTATATTTGGATCTTCAGTAGCCCATGATGCACTGACTACTAGTTCTTGACCCAGAGCTATATGCACTTCAAAAATTAGTAGCCAAACTTAACTTAATCCAGAAATTTACAAACATATAATTAAAAATTTCTATGTATTCACAAATGTGTGCAAGTACCAAACCATGGATGTGTCACCTCCGTTATCTGCTTCCTGGACCTCAAATATTAAAGAGGAACCAGATTTGTAAATCAAAGATATACTGTAGAATACTTTATTTTCGCTGAAGGGTTGCTTTAAAATCCAGCGAATATACATTTTTTCCAATGTCTCACATTCAACTCATCAAAAATCAGTGAAAATAAATTCCATACATAATTCCAGCTAAAATAAAGTATTTCACAGTATTACAAGTTCCAGTGTGGGACTTGCGAAAATGCTAACACAATTCCTGTTCTCAACATTATATAGAAAGCAGTTTTTTAAACTGGGAGCCCAGCAGGCTATTAACAACAAATTTCCATTTCAAGCCAGTTTACTTCTCTGCTTCATTCTAAGAAATCTGAAAAAAGTGATGCTGAATACCTTGTGACAATCTGGGACAGAGACACTGTTAGCCAAGGACAAGTCTAACTTCGCCATAACCAAGGTCATGTGCAGGTAGATGAAATAGAATGATGATTCCAAGTTTGCAAGAAAACTAGAGATTGTGGGAGAACAATCTCCCTTTCAGAGTTAAGTTGATACATGTGTTTGTTGGTATTTACTATTTATTATACTATAGACAAAGCACCTATTTATACTATCAATACTGTGTGAATTCAGTGTGAATGACTTCTTGCATCAAGCATTTTTCAAGTAACAATGTGTCAAACCACTTTGTAGCAAGCAGAATATTTCCCATTAAACCCTTTTTCTGTCCCCCATTAAGATTCAGTTTTGGTGTTTACCTATCAAACTTTAGTTGCCCTGCTTGAAATATGTCCAAAGGGTGCCATGTATAACACCCAGACAGTTGCTATTCAGTGAGAGCAGTGATTCATTTAAATGACACAGTAAGTCAGTTTGTTAACCAAATAAAACAATAAACATGTACAGTCACAATTGAGAAATGGCTGACTTAAATAAAGAAACATGAAAGTGAAAAGCAAGCATTTAACAGAATGCCCATACAATACAAGTGTCAATTGGTTAAGGTTGAGTAAATGAATAGAGTATATCAGCATCTCTTTAAAAAAAACTTAATGATGCTCATTCAGATTGATACATTTGCTTTCTTTATTTTTGGATTTTAACCTTGTTCAGTTAAAATTAAAGATGCTAGGTGGTAAATAAGAGAACATTTAAAAGAAATAGATGAATAGCGCCCTCTATTGACTGCATTCAGAAAGTATGATGTTGTCTTGGCAACTCACCAATATACTGAGTAGAAAAATAATTGAGTTGAGAAAATGATAGAATTGAAACCAGATTTTTGTTTTTGTTGACAAATTTGTGTTGGCACTCTTGGCTGCATAGCTTTGGTATAGATTATTTTTCCAGTATATTACACATGATTGACATAAGAAACACAACAACATCAATTATTTATATACAGCTATCAATTTTAAGACTGTTTTCACACACTACCAGGCTGTGCAACCATTTTGCAAATGAAATAGAATTAATAGATAATCATGGTGATTTATTTATATTAAAGTCAAATCCAGTGACCACTTCTACATAAAGACCACCTGTTTATAGTTACCACTTCTACATAAAGACCACCTGTTTATAGTGACCACTTCTACATAAAGACCACCTGTTTATAGTGACCACTTCTACATAAAGACCACCTGTTTATAGTGACCACTTCTACATAAAGACCACCTGTTTATAGTTACCACTTCTACATAAAGACCACCTTCTACATAAAGACCACCTGTTTATAGTTACCACTTCTACATAAAGACCACCTTCTACATAAAGACCACCTGTTTATAGTGACCACTTCTACATAAAGACCACCTGTTTATAGTGACCACTTCTACATAAAGACCACCTGTTTATAGTGACCACTTCTACATAAAGACCACCTGTTTATAGTGACCACTTCTACATAAAGACCACCTGTTTATAGTGACCACTTCTACATAAAGACCACCTGTTTATAGTGACCACTTCTACATAAAGACCACCTGTTTATAGTGACCACTTCTACATAAAGACCACCTGTTTATAGTGACCACTTCTACATAAAGACCACCTATTTATAGTGACCACTTCTACATAAAGACCACCTATTTATAGTGACCACTTCTACATAAAGACCACCTGTTTACCTTCAGGCAGTTCAAAGGCATAACATAATGCATGAGCACTCTCTATAAAGACCACTTGCCTTGAGTGACCATCCTTTCAGCAATATTTTTGCAGATTATCTTTTGTTTAATAATTAATATTTTGTTTACATGTATAATACATTTTAAATAAAGTCAAACTTAAATTGATCAAATGTATAAAATACTTCAGTGTTGATTATCCCGAATGCTAAAAAGAAACACAGTTCTTAATTTTATTTGTTGGATCATGTTTTGCCACAAGTCAGTGTGTCATTAATACCGCCTCAGCCATTTCCACTTTCTGAAAATGTATTAAATATTCACTGGGTTTTAATTTCACTATTTTTGTTGAGTAAAATCCACTAAATTAAACCCATGTGAAACAATATTAGAATTCATTGTTTCCCAGCCAAATTTGTGAAATTACACACAGTGAATGTGCACCAAATATCAAAATAAAACAGTAAAATTTGTTGTGCCAATTTTTACTTCAATTTCACTCTTGCCACTTTAGTTATAAACATCAAGCCCAATATATCGCTAAGCAATCACCACTGAGTGCAGTATATGTTAACATAAATGCATGCAGTCAAATGCTTTAACCCACCACCACCCTCCCCTATATCCACAGAATATATACTCATTCAAACGTTTGTGTTCACGATTGACGAGTACTGTCGTAAAAAAAAAACAATCTTTACATCAAAGCTGTAGCCAAGGGAATCACTAAGATGTTCAACAACTTATAGTCTCTGATGGATGATTTATTTTACACAGACAAGCCCAGGAGGATACAAAGACATCCTTTATGTACATTCACTTTATACACATTTATTTATGTTCAAAGTTCCTTCTCCGATGGCATTGACAGGAAACTGCATTTCCTTTACTTCCTGTAATATTGTTCCTACAATTTTATGATTCTGAATTTCCTCAAAATAGGGCAAGCTAACATTTAGGGTAATCTAGGAAGAGAGACATATACATTTATTTTTCAATTAATTGAGACTAAAATTATTTTGAAAATTGTTTCAAAATTGTTGTCAGAGAGCCATACAATAGGGAATGATATAATCATTGTTGTTATGAAAATAAGCAAATAAAAGCAAAAAAAAACACACTAAAACCAAGGTACTGTGGGTTATTTATATCTATTTTCTTCCAGTTACAATGTATACATGTAAATACGCTGTAAACTATTTTTACTATCAATTTTATAATTTGATCAGTCACATTTATTGCTACTATTAAATTCCATATCATTGAATATTTCTCTCTTACATATTTTCTGCTAGAAACAAGATTTATTTTTTCAGTACATTGTTGAAACACAAATTACTTAATTACAGAAAACAATAGTGAAAATAAATTTGTTGACCTGTCTCCATAAAAAAACGCCTTCTATAAAGTGAAACCACAGTTACAGTGATAAGCACTTAGGAGTTGATCATTACCAATTCTGTCGGTGGGAGGGGGGGGGTGTTGTTGGTGAATGAATACTGCAGTCCATAAGAACAAAATAAACCTCATTTTTGAAAGAGAAAAAAAATGTAAGAAATAAAACTAAGGGAACAATATTTTGCATGTTTTCTCTACCATCTCCCCCTCCCAGAGTTTGTAATGGTCCATCCCTTAGCAGGTCAATTAGGATTTATAACTACCCTGGAGGCAACTCACAGTCAATGAATGATTATTTGAGTTATCAAATAGGCCTTGACAATTTATTTTTAAAATCAATTCACCAACGGCTAAGTTTTTTTAAAGTCTGAATTTATTTGCCATATCAAGGAGTTGTTTTAAATGACTCATCAATCTGACTATAATTTGGCCTAAAGAAATCAGACAATAATGGCAGTAATGACCAATCATAATGTTATCTGTACAGAATAAATAAATTGGTCTCCATTTCTAGTACTATTTCTGTAGTGTGTGTGTGTGTGCGCGTGCATGTGACGTAACTGGGCCCAAAACATCCAACAAAATCAGCTAAAT